AGGGCTCCCACTTCATGGGGGTAGCCCAGGGCTCCCACTTCATGGGGGGAGGGGACCCCAGGCCTCCTGCTTCATGGGGAGAGGGGAACCCCAGGCTCCCACTTCATGGGGGTACCCCAGGGCTCCCACTTCATGGGGGGGACCCCAGGGCTCCCGCTTCATAGGCAACCCCAGGGCTCCCGCTTCATGGGGGGGAGGGGACCCCAGGGCTCCCGCTTCATGCGGGAGAGGGGACCCCGGGCTCCCGCTTCATGGGGGGGAGGGGACCCCAGGCTCCCGCTTCATGCGGGGGAGGGGACCCCAGGTCTCCCACTTCATGGGTGGAGACCCCAGGGCTCCCACTTCATGGGGGAACCCCAGCTTCCCGCAGGCCCCTCTGGGGGTGATGCCTAGCGGCCATCTTCTGTTCCTCTCACTTGGTCCCCCGTCCCCTGGAGACGAGCCCCCTCCGAGTCACCCGCCTCCCTGGCAGCTCCCCACACCTGGCCATCAGGAGAGTCTCATTTCCCACCAACTTCCCTTTGCACAGGGATGAAGTCTCGCTCACAGGGGTTCAGCAGAAAGGTGTGCGAGGACTGGGAGGTGGGGGTGGGCCGTGGAGAGCCCTCCAGCTACTCTTCTCTCTGCGGGTCTCATAGGAAGCTCCTCACCCCTGACCCTGCCCTCTGGGGACGCCCTCAGCTCCTGGGGAGGCTGGCCTGAGGGCTACAAGGTCAGTCCATGTGGGTCCTCTGGGCTCTGCAGGGCCCTTGGGAGCGGTGTTTAAGTGGGAGCCTTTGGCTTACTTAAAACAAATTCCTAATTTTCCTTGTAAGTTCCTTGTTATGATGAAGTCAGAGTCTTTATTATCACAGTGCAAATGGATTTGACAAGTACTATAGGAATATTTTAAATTTAAGGTATTGGTAATCAGTCTTCACAAAACAGTGACGGACCCACTCCCTGCGTGGCCGACTGCCGCTCGGGCCCGTGCGCAGGGCAGCTGCTGGCCGTCAGTTGCCAGGTGGCCGGTGAGCTGCGGTCAGGACAAGCTCCGAGAGGGACCTGCCCTTGGAGAGCCGTGAGTGTGGCGTTCGCCATCGGGGAGTGGGTTCTGTGTGTGGTTCGGATGTTCGGAGAGCCGGCTTCCTCCTCGGTGTTTTCATCCAGTCAAGGGAATACATGGAAAAGGAATGCTCCTCATTCCCTGCAGCTCTGACTCCAGAAGGCCACCCGGCTCTGACTTCAGCTCGGCAGCAGGCCCCGTGCAGGTCATGCTTCACTGGCTTCCTTCTCTGCCC